AGGCCAAACTACTGAGACTCAGGCCTCCATTAAACTTATCAGTGGCTGAGTCCTACTCAGGCAGGTGATAATGGTTGGAAGTAAAGAACTTCCTTTGGGTGATCTGTTCATATTTAGCTTATCATGGTTGACTCCTACAGAATCAATAAATTAAAGAAGGTGGTAAATGATATACTAATCAATTGCTACAAATAGGTCTTTAAATATTTAAATGTTTAAACTGATTAACATTTATATGTAAATGACAGATGACAATTGCCAATATGCATGCACCAACCGGATAGCTCAGGATAAGGACTTACTATTGATTTGGGAGATGAGGTAATGATATAATAGTTATATTTAAAGGAGGCAGGGCAGCCCTTGGAGTTGAAGTGTGGTTTCCACAGTCGAGTGACTGCCTAGCTTGTAAAAAGCCTAGGCTCAATCCTAGCACTGAAAAAAAAAATGAAAAATTAAAAAAAAAAAGTGTAAAGAGGTAGTTAAGAACTTGCATGTATGTAGGGCAGAGTGTGGTGGCCCATAACGTTAATCCCAGCACTCTGGAGGCAGAGGCAGGTGGATCAACATGAGTCCGAGGCCAGCCTTGTTTACAGTGAGTTCTAGGATAGCCAGGGCTACATAGAAAGATTCAGTCTCAAAACAAAACAACAGTGGTGGCACACACCTTTAATCCCAGCACTCTGGAGGCAGAGGCAGGTAGATCTCTGAGTTCGAGATCAGCCTGGCCTACAAAGTGAGTTCCAGGCCAGCCAGGACTACACAGAGAAATCTTGTCTTGAAAAACAAAAACAAACAAACTAACAAACAAACAAAAGCCATACAACATCAAGATAAAAAATAACCCCCTCTCAAAAAAAAACCCAACCAAAAAAATTTATATGTAAAATTATATTATGCCTAAGATTTGATCCAAGATAGTCCTGGAGGGGAGGGCTGGCGTGGGGTGAAGAAGATTGCCTAGGAACTTAAAATTATCGAAGGTAATAATAGCTGTGTAAGTTTTACTATATTATTTATATGTATTTGTTTTCAGTTTTGAGTAATAAAATATAAAATACAAACCAGGGGCTAGGGAGAGAGGAGCACCGGCTAAATCAACACTTGCTTTGAAAGGAGAACAGGGACAGGAGTGTGGGGCTCGGGACTCATTGTCGTGTCTAGCGCAGATTAGCATCAGCTTTTCCTGAGACAACCCAGACCCGCATTCCTCAGGCTTCAATGTGCTTATGAATCACCCAAGGTTCTTTCTAAGCCGTGGGTGTGGATACAGAAGGCCTGGGGTGGGCCTGGAAGCCAGAAATGTGCAGGTGGTGCCAGCCGAACTGATACTCCCAAGAGGCTCCCTGGCAGAACTCATTTTGGGGCTGGGTGTGGTCATGCCTATAATCCCAGCAATCAGAAGGCCGAGGCAGCAGGCTTTCACGTTTTAGGCCAGCCTGGGACGCAGCTCTTTCATTCGCTGTAGCTTCTGTTGCTGTGAGGGCTCCCTCATTCTCCAGGGCTCCTTCCTGCTCCTGTTCTTACTCTGGTAGAATTTGCAGCTCACCTTCCATTCATTTCCTTCTAAACCCCTCCCCCCCCCCCCAGGATTATTGAACCTGGCTGTCCTCTACCATCTCCCAATACTTGGTCCCAAGCAGTTAAAAGTTACTGGAGACAAGGGCACAATTTTAAACACATCTCTCCCCTCTCCCTAAGCATTTTGCTCTGCTCTGCAACCCCCACTGCCTGCCTCCATACTCACATCCCCCCTCTTCAAAATGGCCTGCCTCTAACTACACACTGCCAGCTGCATGACTACACGAAGCTGCCTCCTTCCCATCCCTACCCACCCTCACAGCCACGTTCATCTTGCCCCAGGACCTTTCTTTGTGCTGTCCTTGTGTGAAAACAGAAGCATCCTGCATTCTATCTGGATTAGATTTCACTTTAGGGCAGCTGCTCACAAATCTCCTTGGATTTTCTCAACAATGCGAGGAGACCTTGCTGCGCCACACCCATCTCCTCTCAGACCTCTAGTATTTTTCCCATCACTTCCTCAGACCCTTGTTTGTCCTGAGCATAAAATGGTGTCTCATCACGACAGGTTATCTCTAGGCACAAAACCGCCTTTGTATCACCTCTTGGCTTCAGTTCCTCCCAGTATTACAGAGGCACTACCCAGTTTACTGTGTGTGTGTGTGTGTACGTGTGTGTGTGTGTGTGTGTGTCTGTTGTATATATGTGTGCTTCCAGGTGTCTGTGCACGTGGGTCATGTTGGGTGTCACATCTTGACCACTCTCCACCTTGAGTTTTGGGACAAGGTCTCTCACTGAGCCTGAAGTGCACCCATTCAGCTAGCCTTACTGGCCAATGAGACTAAAGAATCTACCTGTCTGTATTTCTCCCTGCTATCCCCGAGGGCTGGGGTTATAGGAGCACGTGACCAACCCCAGCTCTTTACACAGGCTCTGGGGATCTGAACTCAGGTCCTCATGCTTATGTGGTGGGCACTTTGCTGACTGAGCCCACTCCCTGGTCCCAAGCTTAACCACTTGAATTCATGTAGTAAGTCTAGGGGGGAAAAATAGACACAGCATTTTGTAACTTTCCCAATCAAGGGGTGGAGACCCTGGTCCTGACGGTGTAATTGGTTTAGGCCAATGGGGCATCAGCAGCAGGAGTGCAGCGGAGGCAGGAGAACGGCTACAGACCGAGGGTCCCCTTTCTGACTGCTGTTGCGATCCAGCCGTCCCACGTCTCAGACTGGATACGGAGCTACACAGCCTGGACCATTTGTTTGCATTGCTTCTGTTTTATTTTTGACAATGTCACACCCATATACAAGGTATTGTGTTCTTATTTACTCCTTATCTCCCTCCCATTTTTGCTGACCCCTTCTTTTTCCCAGCGCATCCCCCTCCTGCTTCCATGTCTTTTGTGCGCACGTGTGCAGGTCTTATCCATTACAGCTGCTGTGTGTTTACAATTGCGATGGCCATCCCATATTCAGAAGACAGCATGCACAGCACTCCTCCATCCTCCGGCTCGTATAATCTCTCCACCCCCTGGGCCTTGGAGGGAGGATACAGATGCCCTCTTTCAGGCAAAGAACTCAGAACTCACTGTTCCCATCATCCGACCACCATTTCCAGTCTCTGCATTAACCAAAGTGCATCGTTAGAAGGCCTGATCAGTTTCACCGCCCCTGCCAATCAGCAGTCCCTGCTCGTGGCCTCTACTCCCAGCCAGCCTACTGGCCACCTAGCTGGACAAACCAATGCTGCCAAGCACAGAGTCACTCACACCATCCCAGCCACAATGGCTGACTCCCAGAACAAAGAGCTACAAACCATCCTCGTTTGAGGCCACGGCCTTGGAGGTGGTTTGCCACCCAACGCACTGGTTTGCTTTGTGGGGTTTTCTTCATGCTGCAAATCCAGTTCCCTCTTTTAGGCTTTCGTGGTTGCTCACCAATCCTGGGATGAAACCTAAGACCCCAAGCAAGGTCTACAGAGCCCTTTACAATCCAGAACACCTCAACTGTGGCACAGCCACATCCACGCACCCTGCTCAGCCCACAGGCTTCTCGTTGCTCCTCAAGGGCCTGACTTGGTCACCTAGCCAGGCCTTTGTCCCTGCCTCCCACTCTGGCTGGGAAGAGCTCTTTTGGACCCTTCACCTTGTTGGCTCTGCCTCCTTTCTCAGATAACATCATCACAGAAGCTTCCTTTGACTACACTCCCTTTATCCCCACTTCTCGGCCTGAAATCTGTCTTCTGTGTTTTCCTGGTACCTTGCTGTTTTTTTTTTTCTTTGCAAATACCCTGGTTTGAAACAATAGATTGCCTTGTGTAGTGACTTGCCTGATCTGTGTAAGAGCAGGGCATTTTTATTTTGTGCACAAATGTGGCCCCAAACCTGCAAGGGTTACCTGTTGCATGGTAACTGTTGGCTGGTTGTTGTTGTTGTTTGAGGCAGGTTACCATGATGGCTAACTGTGTAGTCATCCCTAGAGAGAAACTGCTGGGGCCCAGATGATCCCACCTGGCATTTATTAGCTGTGTGACCTTAAGTAAGCAAGCTAACTTGTCATTCTGTGCCTCAGTTTCCCCTAAAGGTGACAATTCTCTTTCCATGCTGCTGTGTGGACTGTGCTCTTGTTGTTGTTGTTTCTGGCTGAACAGATGATACCTGCGTGCCTGCAGCCACCCACTTGCTCTGAGCCTACAGACGCTGCCACCATGGGATTCACACGGGATTCACATCAGCTTCCCCGAAGGCTAGTTTCTCAGCCAACTCTGCCTCCATCTGCAAAGGTGTGGCCTGAAACTCAGAGCAAGCTCCTCCGTGTGTGGCACCTGAGAATGCCCCTGGGCACTGAACTTTGGCTCTGCTTGCAGCCTTGATGTCTCCCTCAAAGTCAAATGTTTGGGGTCACCAAGACTTGCCTCCCTAATGGCTGTCACCCTGCCTCCTGTCACCTGATGAGCCAGCCTCGGTTTGGCTGGCATCTGGGGGGTTAACAGGCAACCTTCAAACAATCCCAATGGCAACATCATCTGAGTGAAGGGGGGAAACTATCAAGAAACCTTAGTACATGTCCAATTTCCAAGTCCTTAGGACCTGGCATTTTCATTTCTGGGCAGAAACGACATATAATCTAGGTATCCAGAACAAAAACTAAAAGATTTGTAAATCAAGATGAGGGGTGCAGCGTGGTGGGGGGGACGTGAAAAGGGGGCAGGAAAGAACAAGGTGAGAGGTGGGGGGCTTAGAGGAGACAGAAAAGAGTGGTAGGAGACAGACTGGCGACCGCAGGAGACACGCAGTTGCTTGGTCCACCCCAGCAGGACCTAGCTTCGCAGGGCAGGGCCCAGAGCTTAGCTCCCCAGAACCGCGGGCGCCCCCCTCCCCCAGCTCCCTTCCACCCTGCGTCGAGAGGGTGTCCTATGCATGCTAATGAGACAGTTGAGGACAGCTTCCCAGATAATTGTTAAAGTGTTCAGCAACTTACCAGGCTGGGAGTCAGAGGACTGCAGAATGATGGGGGGCACGGCTCCTGGGGTGGGGGCAGCACAGGGCCTGATCTCCAGGTACCCGGAGCTCACAGGCTGCCAAACGAAGACGGGTTTTCCATTCGGTCAGGCACCAACGCAAAGGTAGGGAGAGCCAGACCAAAAGGCAAAGGAAAGGAGGGGAACCTGCGTGTGTTTTTGTATTTAAATTGTTTTTGAGCCCACGTAGCCCTGAGAGTCACATGCCGCCTCCAACATCACCGGAGCCATCACATGATACAGGTCCCCCATCATGTGATGAGAAAAAGCTGCCTAACTTCAGACCCCCCCACCCCCACCTCTGCTCACAGACTGACAGACGAAGCGCTTCTGGAAGAGGCCCCCACCCCCAAATCAGTGACAGAGGGAGGGATGCAGATAGGGGAGCCTGAGCCCACGCAAGGCTGATCTTGATGCATTGTTAATGCGCCTCTCTCTCCTAAGCCCTGAGACTTGGAGCAGTGCCAGCCTCATTTGAATTCCAGCCTTGAATAACCAAGTGTTGCCACCGCTGCCCCAGCAAATACAGGGCGCTTGAGCTCACACCATCCTGCCTCGTTCTGGGGAGCCTGAAGACTGCCTCCCCTCCCTACAGCTTCCGAACCTCGTTACCAACTGTGGAGATGGAAGCAGGGTGGGGGGGCGTACTGTAGGGGGAGACCTGTAGAAGAAGGAGCCGGCTGCAGTCGAACCTTCTAGTCCTCTTCCCACCCCTCAGCCGCAGTCTGAGTCAGGTGGGGCCGGCTGGCACTCTGATTACAATGTCTCCTTTTATACTTGATTCTGGGACCTCTGTGGGTGGAAACCTTCGTATTCTGTCTGTCTGTCGCTCTCTTCTCATTCCCACTCCCGAATCAAGATACAAACAAATTGTGTTTAAAAATCCGCCGCAGTTTCCTTCCTTTGTGCTCGTTTATTCACACGCTCAGAGCCTCTTTTTTCATATAAGCTCCTTCGCAGGGCGCCTGTTCAGCTTCAGGTTACGCGCGCGCGCGCGCACACACACACACACACACACACACACACACACACACACACACACACACACACACGGGTGGGGGTGGGACAGAGGCTGCAGTGTGGAGCTCCAGCCTTGACAGGCATCTTGTCTGTTAGAGGCACCAAAAAACGCAGACAGATGTGGCAGATCCTAAAGCCAGAGCCACACAAACACAGTATGAAAATTCTCTATTGGCCCAGTCTGAACGCGGCTTTTGCTCCCCCAATCCCAACCCTCTGCTTAGCAGAGGAAACTTGCTCTGCTACCCTCCACCCCAATCATCTGCTTTATTTGTTTTTTCTCCTCTACTTGAATTTACACATCAATTGGAGATTTCCCCCTCCTCAATGGTGTGAACATCAACCTCTGATTCTCAGCCCTAAGAAACAAGTAAGCAAACAGGTGGGCTACTCTCCTTGGGGGCAGTGTGACTTACTGAACCTCCGGTTCAGGAGGTTGTGAGGAAGACCAGCTGGGCGGGCAGTAACCGTAAAGGCCCCTGAGGAAGGAAGGAGCTTGCTTCCCAGCAGAAGGTTTTCTGTTTTGTTTTGTTTTGTTTTGTTTTGTTTTAGGCAGGGTTTCTCTGTGAAGCTTTGGAGCCTGTCCTAGAACTCGCTCTTTAGCCCAAGTTGGCCTCAAACTCACAGAGATCCTTCTGTCTCTGGGTCCCTAGAGCTGGGTTTAAAGGCATGCGCCACCACCGCCCAAGTTTTTGTCTACACTGTCCTAGATAACGAGAGCGGAGGAGAGGTCTGTGGCTGCCTGTTCTTGTCTCCCTCGATAAGGACAAGGCAGGCTGTTTTCAACAGACCAAAGGCTGCTTTTGGTAGGAGTTGGGGCTGGGTATAGACCTATAGCGTTTTCATGCCTGAATTTGTATGGCTGGCTTCTTCAACATGGAGGACCAAGCCATCATAGAGAAAGTCTGGGTAAATAGAATTGACGTTCTTTTAAATGAGCTCTCAAGAAAGGAAAAAGATACAGCAGAAAACCAGGGTGCTAGCATGACCATTATCTGGTCCATCTTGAGACTTAGCTCTCGGTGGGAACATGGCGGTCTTAGGGGACAGGGGATATAATTATTAGCAGAAAAAGAAGGTGAAGTCTTGTGTCAGAAGACTTGCATGGTAACTGGAGACCCTTAATTCATTTTCTTGTGTATGTGTGTACACATCTGTGTGTGCCTGCTTGCCTGCTGGTGTGTATGGAGACCAGCGGTTACCACTGGATGCCTTCCTCAATTGCTTCCCATCTTACTTTTTGAACCTATATTTCACAGATAGCAAGGCAAGCTAACCAACATGCCTTAGAGATCTGCCTGTCTCTACCTCCCTAGCTCTGGAATTATAGTTTGTGCTCTCCTAACTGGCTTTTCACATGGCTAAGGGATCTGAACTCAGGTCCTCATGCTTGCTCGGTAGGTACCCTCCCATCTGACCCCCAGCACAGAGACTTATACAGTGCTGTGTCTGTAGGACCCAGCCATGACAAGCTCAACACAAGCCTGAGTCTCAGTAGCTGACCCTAATTAAGGCAATACTTGGTTCCCAGAAAGACCACAAACCAAGACCACCCAGGCACCATCCAGGTATTGACCATCCAAAGGAAATTCCTAACATTCCAACCACCTGGTTCTCAGGCCTCCAGACCCCAACTGAGCTCTGCAGCTGGCTTACCTGAATCTCCAGCTTGCTAACAGCAGGCTGTGGGACTTCTCAGCTTCCCCAGCTATAGGAACCTCATGCTGTCCCTGCCCAATATTTTGCCTGAACTGATTGGGGAGTGGGGAGAAGACTTCCAGGATAATTAAGAACAAAGACCTGTTCTTAATTAGGTTTGATGCTTGAACATAAATAACCCAGGGATAACAAAAAGAAGGACTAGGGACTGGAGGGATGGCTCAGTGGTTAGCAGCCCCGGCTGCTTTTCCAGATGACAGGGTTCAGTTCCCACACTACATGGTGGGTTACATACATGGAAAACTCCACTTCCAGAGGGATCTAATGCCTTCTTCTGAAATCCATGGGCATCAGCCATACACACGCTGCACAAACATACTTGCAGGCAAAACACTCGTACACATACAATAAAATAAATAAATAAATGTAAAAATATTTTTAATAAGGAATAATCTGGAGGCATATTCATTAAATCCAGGTCCCCCAGAATTCCCTTTGGGTTAAGTGCCTGTTACAAATGTGTTTATCATGCAAAGATAAACATTTTAAAAACTGAAGAACACTGATATACAGAAGAGTGAGAATAGACACATATAAATTTCATATAATCAAAACAATTGCATTGATTGACTATTTTGGTTTTTTTGTTTTTTGTTTTTTGTTTTTCAAGACAGGGCTTCTCTGTGTAGCTTTGGTGCCTGTCCTGGAACTAGCTCCTATAGACAAGGCTGGTCTCGAACTCAGAGAGATCCGCCTGCCTCTGTCTCTCCATTGCTGGGATTAAAGGAGTGCGCCACAACCGGGCACATTGACTATTTTTTTTAAATGATGCATTTTGCTGAACAGTGGTGGCACACGCCTTTAATCCCAGCACTCAGGAGGCAGAGGCAGGCAGATCTCTGTGAGTTCGAAGTCAGCCTGGTCTACAGAGAGAGTTCCAGGACAGGCTCCAAAAACTACAGAGAAAAACCAAAAAAAAAAAAAAAAAAAAGAAGAAGAAAGTGCATTTTTTATTATTAAAAAGTAAAATAACTGGAACAAAACGTGCCCTTCTGCTCGAAGCAGCCGCAACGACAACAAACATCAGAGGAAACAAACGGAGGGGCAGCTCTGAAACGGGGAAGAAGGGACGACTGTGACCCACTGTAACTCTCACCCTGCCCGGGAAGCTGATGAAGCTGAGGGAGAGAGGCACAGGCTGACCTTCAAAGATCTGCAGAGAGCAGCAAACCCCACTCCAAAGGAGCAGAGGGCAGAGCAGGAACAGGAGCATTACCTTAGAAAAAAACATAGATATCAAATCAAGTAGAATCTTCAGAAGCTGCTGCCTCAATTGTGGGACCAAACTAGTCCTGTATTAAATAACGGGTCCAGGAAACCAAAAGGTTTTGGAAGCAAACCTTGAAAGAACTGTAGTGTTCCCAAGCCATTTTATTGCATCTTAAGAAGCGCAAGGGGTCTAAAGGGCAGCTTAGTGATTAAGAGCACTGACTGCCCTCCCCAACCTCAAATGGTTCTATAGAGTGATAGTAATGAAAGCATTAACATAAAAATAGACATGTTGATCAATGAAATGGAACTGAAGACCCAGACATAAGTCCACACACTTATGGACACATGATTTTTGATAAAGGAGCCAGAAATAACACTGGGGAAAAAAAGATAGTGCTGGTCAAACTGGATGGTTGCTTGCAGAAGAATGTAAATAGGTCCACACTTCTCACTCTGTGCAAAACTCAACTCCAAATGGATCAGGAACTCAACATAAGATCAGATACACTGAATATGAAGAGAAAGTTGGGAAATAACCTTGAACTCACTGATATAGAAAAACACTTTCAGTGTAGAACACTGAGAGTACAGGCACTATAAAATAACAATAACAATAACAATAACAATAATAAACAGGACCCCATGAAACTGAAAAGTTTCTGTATGGCAAAGTACACTATCATTCACGCAAAGTGGCAGTGCAATTACCAATTACACACCTGACAGATGGTTGATATCTAAAATATATAAAGAACTAAAAATAAAAGCTCTCTGGGCATCAAGAAAACAACCAATAAAAAATGGGATACAGATCTAAACAGAGAATTCTCAAAAAATGATACGCAAATGGCCGAGAAACACTTTAAGAAATGTTCAACATCCTTAGTCACCAGTGAAATGCAAACCAAAACTACTTTGAGAATTTCATGCTACACCAGTCAGAATGGCCAAGATCAACAAAACAGAAGACAGACAGTTCATGCTGGCAAGTATGAGAGGAGGGGTAAAAGGGAGACTAAACCCTTGCTGGTGGGAGTACAAACTTGTCCAGCCACTATATAAATTATTGTGGAGGTTCCTCAGGAATCTGGGGATGGCTCTACGTCACGATCCAGCTACACCACCCTTGAGCATACACACAAAGAACTCTACGTCCTACTACAGACACTTGCTCAGCCATGCTCATTGCAGCTCTGTTCATAATAAATTGAATAATAAATTGGAAAC